CGTTAGTTAGTTAGTAGTAGTAGGTAGTAGTAGTAGTAGTAGTAGTAGTAGTAAGTATACGTATACTATATATAGTTAGTAGTTAGTAGTAGTAGTGTTATTAGGTGTGTGTGTGTAGGAGAGAGAGAGAGAGAGAGAGAGAGAGAGGCGAAAACACCTAGTCATCCTTAGGTGACCCTTGGCAAAAGAATGATGTTAGGTCCCTTTAGCGTCAAAATTTGGGCATGTTCCATTCCTAACAACCAATACAAAAAGAATTAGCACATTCATATTGCCTTAAAAGTCACACCCCAAGAGTGAATACAGACCATCCAATTTTCGGCAGTTAAATCAAGGTCTTATAGAACTCAAAATTATTACTTTTTTTTCTTCTTGTTGATCTCGTTAGGACAGGACCATCTACAAAATTTGGGGTCAAAGATAACCTATGCAGGACCTTGATCTAGCTGTCCATAAAATGGATGACTTTATTCATTGCATTGTTTTCTCCTCACAAAACATTTTAGGTTTTTTTTTTTTTTCCAATGAAATTGTTTGCTGAGATGAATATAGATAGTGTGCAAACTCACAAAACATTTTAGGTTTTTTCTTTTCTATGAAATTGTTTGCTGAGATGAATGTAGTGCGCAAAGTTCGGGGCAAACAAGTTCCCTTTGCGTGGGGTTTCTGAAGGGTGGACACAATAGGAAATTACCCTAAGGTGATTAAATCCCTTGTGTGTGTGTCTATAACTGGCTGTGTGTAACTCTCTCTTTGTACCATTATTAAGGTTTTACATTACCTTGTTACTTCTATTCGAATTGCTTCACATATTTTCAGTATGATAATGCTCTGATGTTGATGATTTTCAGTATGCTAATGTTGTAGAAGCATTGCGAAGAGGTGATCTCAGGCTGCTTCGACATGCCTTGCAAGAGCATGAAGATCGGTATGTTATCCTCTGGTGATTTCTGCTCCCATATTGTACTTGTTTGCATAAAGTTGTTCATGAACATCCACTTGACAAGCCATTCTTGAACTATCAGATTCTTGAGATCAGGTGTGTATCTCGTCCTCGAAAAGCTTGAGCTTCAAGTTTACCAGAGATTGGTAAAGAAAATGTGAGTTGAAAATGGATCATCAAAATACCAAGGAATTGACTTAGCTTACTATTTGAAGTAGATTCTGAACTGGCCATACTTCATTGGCAGATACATAATCCAAAAGCAAAAAGATCCCAACAAAGCACACCAAGTTAAATTGGAAGTCATTGTGAAAGCCTTTAGATGGCTTGAAATAGATATGGATGTTGATGAGGTAATCAACACTTTATGAAATTTCTTTTCTTGTGCGGATAATATGTTTTCAGGGCCTTGTATGTCAACGCTGCCAGCCACTATGCCAGGGTGTTTGAAACCTAAATCGTACTCACTTATTTGATATCCAGTTTTAGAACTCACCCCTTTGCACTTATTTGATATCCAGTTTTAGAACTCACCCCTTTGCCCAACTCATGGAGCTACGCTTTATGGTTTGTAGGTTGAATGTATAATGGCCATCCTCATCCACAAGAATCTGATGAAAGGTTATTTTGCCCATAAAAGTAAAGTGGTAGTACTTAGCAAGCAGGATCCTTTCCCCAGGCTAAATGGAAGACCAGTGAATTCATAGATTTGTATTTGTGCTGAAACTTGGCCATAAAATTACAGGGTGAAAGAAATGGATGTGTATTGGTATCAGTTGCAAGTTTTTCCTGCATGAAGCTTTGGCAGTTCCCCAGCACATTTACTTTTTATCCAAGAGTTGAGTTACATGTGTATCTATTCATATTTAATAATATGGATGTAATATTCATAATGTTTTGTTTCATCCATAAAATATAAATGTTTTGTTTTTTACTTTTAAATATAATGCACTTTTACCATCGTTTTATTGTATTTTAGCCTTTTAATACCAGAAACTGATCTAGACTGGGATTTCTGTAGCTGATCTTATTCTCAATCTTTGCCCCATCCTTGCCCACCCCCGGCTTTTTGCAACGCTCATGTCTCTCTTCTGTCTCCTACCAAAGTCCTCACTTCTTTGCTTCATGGCCTTCCCTCCTTTCTGGAGAATGCAATGCGGCTCCGGATTGGATTGTTGTGACATCCGATTCATTAATTGGATCGTATGCTAAGATCCACTTCCATCATTAACCCACTGATGGGGCACTAACAATGATCCTTTATCTGAGCCCTCTATGCAAACAAGAGCTTTTCAAAATGTGCTTCCTAATCAAAGCATTTTACGAAGTTTGTTATTTTCTCGAAGCTCTAGCCGTAGCAGAACACAAAACTAAAGGCGGGATTCAAATGGCCTCTGATAGGAAAGTGGTTGCTCCTAGGGTTTTGGGCAGGTCTGAAGATTGATAGACAAGTAACTGAGTTTAGCAGGGATGAGGACTGGTGGGGCATAAAATCATAATCATGGGGAATTGGTAACCACATTGATCATGTTATATGAAAGAATAACTTTGAGAAATAGCTCAAAAAATTGATATCGAGTCCCAAGAAAAAGAGATCTTGACTGTCTATTTTGATGGGCGATCAGATCTAGCCTTTGACTCTAAAACTGTCTGCTAAGATAGATTGGCTCATTGTCAAGGGAGTACTCAAATTCGTTCCTTTTGTTTTTTAAGAAATTCTTCACAAGTTGAATCAGATATGATTTGCAACATGGTATGTAAAGATTGCCTAACTGGTTTTTTTTTGTTTCTTACTTTTTGAAGGTTCCCCATGATGGAGTGTTTCTAGCATATAGAACAACTATATAGTTTGCTCTGCGAGAGTGTAAGGCTCATGATCAAAAACTTACTTGGGAAGTGATACTTGAAGAGAAGCAATGAATGCCACACTTGGCTCCGACGACACGTTCTACATCTGAGACAAAGAAGCAAATAACATTGACATTGAAAGCATGAAACAAACTTCAAAAAAAAAAAAAACAAGGATAATAAAAAGCTGCTGCGTTAATGCGCATTCGTTTTCTTGCAACAAGCCACAGCTAGCTTAGTACAAGAAAGACATAAAATGTGGACTAAATAAAGTTTTAAAAAAAAAAATTGTATAGTTGAGGGTGAACTTGAGGAGGATTTATCGGCTATCGTTGATAATTCACTGTTTCAATCAAATTATACTTGATAATGAATTGTTTGTTATATGATAGGGTCCATCATAAAGTTTCCTGAGACAAATAAATTTATCTTTCTGAAGTTACTGTCGAGATACATATTTGATAATTCAATATGAAGAATCCCAATTTTGTAATCTTCATATTACACTTTAAAACGCAATTAACAAATATGTTATTACCATTATTTCTGTTCTGACTGTTGATTTGGGAACTTGGCGAGAATAAAACTTTGGACCTATAATGAATAGTAGTTTCAGATGCGCTCCCAACTGTCATATCTATCGAATAGTTAAAAATATATATCACTATTTAAATTTTAATATTTTTTTTATGAATTGAATCGGGATGAAACTTTGGGCTTAAGTACTAAAAATAAGGTGCATAAGAAAAATATATATATATAAATTAAAATAATCAAAATACACCTGAAAATGATTGGGGGTAATTTGATCATTTTAAATATTTGAAAATATTTTTTTGTGTTTTTATATGGTGTGAGATAGTACTAAGTATAAACACCCAAAATTTTAGCTCAACGTGATTTGCACCAAAAAGATTAAAGTTTAAATAATTATATGCATTTATAACCCTCTCATCAAACAAATGGGAGAAAGATCCAAACTACTAGTCATCTTAGGTCTAGACCTATCGGTATGTTTATTTGCAATAATCTACACCGCTTATTTAAATGGATGGTTCATAGCTTTGGCATTGTCTTTAAAGAAATGTACATTATCCAAATAAAATGGAAGTTATTAAAAATGTATTGTATACTGTGAAACCATTTATTTTTTGTACAAGGATGTCACAATTATTTTTTACTATTAGATGTGAAATCCAATAGATGAAATTGTATCACAATGTTCAAGAAATTTTGTTTTAGATATTGTACCCAAACAATGACACTCAAATCTAGCAATCGATAGTAATTGTGATCTTCTTGTATAAAAATAAATAGTCCCATTGTATTATTGCCTTACTTCTACAAATAAGATTGCCGCTTTATATAAACTGCATTAAGTTTACATTTCTCACTAACTTTCTTTTCTCATAGGGTATGAACAGTAAATTATCATATTTCTATGACTACGAAAATTAGGATACCGGGTTTTGCTTCTCATATGAGTAGACAGAAACTTAATGTTGTATATTGATTACTCATTTTCCTACACCTTTAAGAATATCAAATATTCAAATTATGTTATTTTCAACAAAATTTACATAGGATAAAAATAGATTATTAAATAGATTTAATATTATTTTAACAATTTTGATATGCTTTATAAAACTTTCCCACACTTTTGTACAAAAATGGGTACATGGAAACGATCTTTTTTTTTCTTTTTTTTACTACTAATTAATCTTCTGTTTTTTACTATGTTTAATGCCCTTAGAAATTATTTGCAACTAATTTCTTCAAATCTGAAATACTAGAAACTTTCATTTGAACTCTTTATAGCAAAAAAAGCAAAGGTGTATTTTCAACAAAAGATTTCAAACATTCAATATTTTTACGAACTATTTTAATTTTTTTTGTATTTAAACTTTTATTTATAGAAATTCATGTGTTATTATTCTTAAAGTCATTTATTATGAATTTTTATTAAGAAAATATAAAAATTCTAAAGTTGCATACCAATTTTTTGCTTTAAAATTTTGAATTTATAAATATTGTGCTCCCAAACATATTTATGAATTTTTAAAAATATTATTTATTTTTCGATATTTGAAGAATTTATGGTTTTAAGGATGAAGCTTTGGTAGCGAACTTTCTCAAATCTAGAAAGTAAAAAAAAATAAAAATTTCCTAAATAAAATTGGTTGTATCTACTACAAAAGTACAAAATCAGTTTTAGATCTCTTATATTCCTAAGATTTGAATTCCTAATGCTTAAAATTTTCAATTATGATACTATTTCCTTTTTCAAGAGCTTTTAAAATATATATTTTGAATCCTTTACCAAGTTCTCCGTGCTTAAAAATTAGTTCGTGATTAATTTCCAAATATTTCACAACCGTTACATCAATGCTCACAATTTCGATGTTTTGGCATAACTTTTATGATATAAAAGAAATGATGTTTAAAGTTCCACCTTACTAAATAAGTATATTCAAATTGTATAATTGGTTTTGGTTTATTTGGTTATTTAATTTTATTTTAGTTTATTATTTTCATCTCCCTTCTACCATTTAAAATTCTTTATCTCGACTTGAAAATATGGGAAAAGTTATCAAATGCTAAAAATTCTACTATTTAACATTTTATCCAATAAAGTAGATCAAAAGATGAGTTACAAAAATTAGAGATGATTCCCTCTTAAATTCAATAAATATTATATAAATATTATTTTTTAACATGTGCGGCTCGCTCTTATTATCAAAACTGTTTCTCATCGTTTTAAAACAGGTGAAATTCTAAATTTTAGTTGAGGATTTCTGTACAATAAAATACTAGTGTGTTGCATGTGCTTCGCACGTGTAGTATTAATATCAATATATAATCATTATATTTATTTAAATTAAATTTAATTAAGAAAATACATACTTAAGTTTATAGAAAAGATAAATTATACTTTCCCTGCATAAATTTGATCGAAGTATACAATACTGGTTTGTTGCATGTGCTTCGCACGTGTCATATTAATATCAATATCTAATCATTATATTTATTTAAATTAAAGTTAATTAAGAAAATACATACTTAAGTTTATAGGAACGTTGAATTCTACTTTCCCATTGCATAAATTTGATCAAGTATAAAGAAAATAAAGGCAATTATCATACTTGGCTTCAGAATCTTACAGTTTTTTGTGTTGCATTCTTGATTACATGCAATTAAAAGAAAAAAAATTACAATTAGAAGACATTTTGGCTTTTCAATGGAATGTGGTGACATTTTCACCTACATATTTAATGAATATAGACATAATTAACTTCATTTAAAATCATCATCATCATAGCGTTTCCCAATTTCAATTAAAATAAATATTACAAATTATTATAAAAGCAAAATATGATAAGAGAAAGAAGGAAGATGTTAAAATTAAAATAAGAATTTATTTAAGAACATTGTATATCTATTATTATTTGTAATTGTAATTATTATAAGAAAATAATTTGTTCTTTAATTTTTGTCTATAATTGTAC